AGGGGACTGACCTAAGTGGGTCTGGCTAGCAAATCCTATTCATTTCAATGGGTCTTATCTTGTTTTGTGCCTTCACGTCATTTCCAACTTAGGGCAACCCTAAGACAACCCTATCAGGGGCTTTTCTGGGGCTGAGAGTGTGCGACTCACCCAAGGTCACCCAGTGGGTTTTCAAACTCTGGTTTCCAGAGTCATCGTCAGTTGCGTGAACTGTGACATTGCACAACCAGATCTTGCGTGTACAATGCGCACGGAGCAATAATGTCCCCCAAGTCAGAGCAGTGCGCAATACATATGTGCATAACCATATGCAATGTACAGCCATGTACCTCCTACACAACTCTGCTTTCTCTATCTTAAATTAACCAAAAAAAATCCAACTGCTTCCATAGTAGGGGATTTTCTGTACACACACCCCATTCTCTGTCCAGTATCAGAGTGGAGAATTTCAAAGGACTATTTGCTTACAACCTGATCCACTGGTGACCACTTGACATTTTTCATAAACATCCAGGGCATAATTGGTTGCCCTCCGTGGTCAAACGGTCAGTACTTCCTCTCTCAGAGGCCTGGACGCTGCTAACAATTAAGAGCCGAGCGGAGCAGAGTGGATTCTCCCTTCTTCCTTGATCTTCAAAGGAGTCGAAAGCGGAGGTTTGTCCAGGATTAATTTTAAATCAGGCGGTGCATGTGGCTAACCAGTTCCGGTTGTGACTCTCCTGTTCCAGCCTTCATCTCAAAGAGGGAGCAGAGTGTCTTCCCTGGGAACTTAACCTTTCAGGAAATTCTCACAAAGGCACTCGGCAAACAAGGGGAGAGCTGATACTCAGTTCAGGTGCAGTCATCACGTGGGCATCAGTCATTTCATTGGAAATCCACAACTTGCCAGAAGAAATGCGGATCATCAGAAAAGGTCGCAGAAACCAATGCACTCCGGAGGGAAGGAGCTGCCATCCCTGCTATTTGTTGTTGTTGTTATGTAGCTTGGAGAAGAGAAGACTGAAAGGTGACACAATAGCCATCTTTAAATATCTGAAGGGAGGTCATATAACAGATGGAGCAAGTATTAACTCTAGCTCAATGTTACGCTGGCACTCTACAGGATCTTGGCCTCTGGTTTTTTCAAAGCACACTCAGATCTCCACATTTGCGGATTTGACTTTTGTGGATTTGACTATTCAAAGATTGGATTAATACGTCCTCTACGCCCTCTAATGCAAGTCTATGGTCAATGTTCACCAAGAGTCGCACTGGAGGACCTAGGGATTCCTAGAGAGAACATCTCTAGTTATTTGTAGGTCCTCCAGCACATCTGCCAGATGTTGAGCACAGATGTGTGCTGGAGGACCTAGGGTTTCCTAGAGAGACGTTCTCTTGTTCTCTCAAGTAAAATAAATTGTGGGAGTTCTTTATTTGTGGGTTTTCCAATTTCATGGGGGTCCTGTACACCTTACCACAGTACATATGGATGGCCCAGTGTATTATTTAATTATAGATCTCCCATCATAAGATGCTGTTCAGCCTTTAATGTGGATTTTCTCAGAGTCTCCTCTTCCCTCTGCATTTTGGCTTACAAATGTGCTTGCTGTGTTCAACTGGGCTTGAAATCGACAAGGACTCAGCTGTTTGTGCAGAACAGCACAGCATTTCTCAAGACCCAAAGTGGCAGAGAGTGAAGAAGGGCCCGCAGGGAACTTCAACACCGTTCCCAGAAAGAGAGGCTGAGGCAGCCAAAGAGAGGACAAAATGCTTAGGATAGCTGGAGCCACACCTAGCAAGGCCTAGGGGGCCTAGCCCCACAGGTGATAAAGATATGAGAAGAAGGAGATTGCAATGCTAAAGTGCACGGTTGATTTATGGGGAAGCTGAACAGCATTTGTTTGTGCCAAGTAAAAGGATGTGCAGCATTATTATCAAAATTACTATTAAGGTACAAGCGTAGTGGTTTGAGTGCTGGACTAGGACTCTGGAGACCAGGATCTGAATCCCTGCTTGGCCATGAAACCCACTGGGTGATCTTGGGCTAGCCACATACTCTCAGCCCTCAGGGGAAGGCAATAGCCATAGCAAAAACAATAGCACTTTACATTTCTATACCACTTCATAGTGAACTAAGCATTCCCTAAACAGTTTAGAATGTGTTAGCCAATTGTAAAGGCAACCTCCTCTGAACAAATCTGGCCAAGAAAATCCCATGACAGGGTTGCCTTAGAGTCGGCATAGGTCAGAAACAACTTGCAGGCACACAACAATAACAGAAAGCCCCTGCTTCTGCCACAGCCATTTATCTTATAGCCAAAATGCAGGGGAAACCACTAGTGTAATGCAGGCTGTTGGCATCAATCCCAGTGGGATAGTGGATCTACTCTGGGCTTTAGCCTGACTTTGAAAGGAGTTATCCAAAGGACTGGATTATATCCCTAGAATAGGTTCAGCACCTTGGACAGCTCCTTTAAAATTCTGATGAAAACCCACCCCACTGACATCGGAGCCATCAGCTGCCACTAGTATAATGGTGGCTTTTGAAGTGCAAACCTCACTGGGACCATCTCATCTCCATGGACAGTCCTAAAATACAGGCAACAATCTTGATCCAAATCAAGAAAATAGTTCTTGACATTATCAGTTCCCCCAGGAGCTCTAGAAGGATCCATCCTATCCCCATATTTGCTGCAAGGACAGGCTGCCAGAGATGAACTTCTCCAAAGGAAACAGCAAATGTGGTGCTACTCAATGGGGCTTCTTAGTGATGCTCAAAATGGACAACGTTTTGGAATTCTTCCTGGACAGAAGGTTGAAATGTAGGGTATGTCCTGGAAAAGGAGGACATCTGGTCACCCTAATCCCCATGGCCAACCAGTCTGTTGCTCAGAGGGACATTTCATTGCTAGGATTTCCTTACCTGGTGTAGCATGAACAAGAATGCTAAGTTGGAACAGTCCACCTGATCCTTGGGGAGGGGATAAGTCTTCAACTCCAACTCAGGGTTCACTACTGGAATTGCTAGTTTGCAAATCTGAATCAACAGTTACAATGCCAACTTTTCAATGCAGGCAAAGGACCTGCTTTTACTACATTAAATACACACACCCCAACACATAGCTCTTTCAACCATACATGGTCAACATGCTTTCGTGTAGTAGACAGTTTGTTTCATTCCAAATGAACATTTCCTGTAACAGTCCTAAAATCTGAAATGCCCCCAACAAGAAGTTCTCCGAGCCAATGACTCAGATGGGCATTCTTTATGGGATCAGTCGCCACTTGACGTACAATCTTTTAAACTGCGGGTATCTTTCTCTCTTTTTTTTTTTATTCCTCCTCCTGAAGTTTGAATTTTTTATGGCACTACAGATGAAGAGGGGGAAGGGAATGACCCCAAAAATAAATAAAACCTACACAAGTTTGTATTGATCCTTTAAGGTTAAGATCTCGGCGCACTTACATTATTCTAACCCAGAGAATTTGAAATTTATGGTCCCTCTTGAACCTTGCCAGCTTCCTCAAGAGAACTCTGTAGCCAGCCGAACGCCAAGTGCCGTAAAATTTAAGGAGGTGAGAGAGAAACTTCCCAGAAAAAATAAACATTTCATGGAAATGAAATAAGTCTTCCCTTATAGGAACTCACCTCAGCAAGCTTGAGATTAAATGGTAAGTTATTCAAAAAGGGTAAGCTGATATAAAGTGTTGTGTGTTGAATACATTTGTTTATGGGCTTGCAGAAATGAGCATTGTCTTGATGCAGGTCAAGTCTCGGAACAAGTCCCAAGTTCGGAAAGTGGATGGACAATGTTCAGCATTTCAGAACCAATGCTATTATTTAATACATTTCCTAGAACAGACGGCAGCTGCGTACATTTCCTCCTCCCCGTTTTCCCACCCAAATGATCACTCATTCACTCTGTGACTCTGTCTGTTCGTGGCCGACCCATTTATAGCATCTATTCACTTGAGAGAACTTGTGAATTCCCTCAAACTATGATATACAAGAGAGAGGAGCTTCCATTAGAAATTCCATCTCCGTATTGTGTTCTTCCATCACCACCATCAATAATGTGCAGCACAATGTGACCCATATCTGGAGATCATTGTATTTTCTGTTTCCCTCTTTCCAGTGGCAACAGCCAATATTTGCAAGGGGTCAGTGTTCCTTGGGAAAGAGCTAAGGCTGTGTGGTTTGGAGCTGAAAAGCTGCAGGCAAGGAAAAAGTCAAGTTGTTATTGTTGTTGTGTGCCTTCAAGTTGTTTCTGACTTATGGGGATCCCAAGGTGACCCTATCATAGGGTTTTCTTGGCAAGATTTGTTTGGAGAGGGCTTGCCATTGCCATCCTCTGAGGCTGAGAGAGTGTGACTTGTCCAAGGTCATCCAGTGGGTTTCATGGCCAAGCTGAAATTCGAACCGTGGTCTCCCAGGGTCTTAGTCCAACGCTCAAACCAGACACCATGCTGGCCACCCTATTATAAAAGTCAAATATCCCTCCGCTATTCTGGTCAATAATAATAATAATAATAATAATAATAATAATAATAATAATAATAATATTTCTTCCCGCCTCTCCCCATGGATTGAGGTGGGGAACACCAACAATTAGCAAACACACAACATCAGTTAAAAACATATCAGTTAAAACACACATTAGTTTAAAAAGACTAATAAGACATGCACATATTAAAACAATCCTCATTTAAAATTTGTCACTTAAATTCACAATTTATAAATCATCTGGGTAAGCCTGGCAGAAGAGACTGGTCTTCAATACTGTTTTAAATTTGGACAGCATAGTCAGCTGTCCTGGCAGGTCACTCCACAGTCGAGGGATGGCTGAAGAAAAGATTTTATAAATCATGTTCTTGTTATTGTTTATCTTCAAATCATTTCTGATTTGTTTCCTATTATGCTTCCCCCCTCCCATCAAGATAGACTCAGAAGGGTGTTATCATGTCCTTCCTCTGAGGCTGAGAGAGTGTGACCTGCCCGTGGTCACCCAGTGGGTTTCCATGGCCAAGTGGGGATTCAAACCCTGGTCTCTTGAAGTCCTAGTCAAACACTCAAACCACTACACTACGCTGGCTGTCTTCTCAAAACCTCCTACTTCCAAAGCTGTCTTTCCTTTTTAGAAAAAGTTGGGGAGGAGGCCATCAGGTGCAATTTATGTGAAATGTGTGACTTGGGCCTTAAATACCTTCCTTTCAATAGGGACTTAGGCCCAGATGACTGGTCCCCTTGTTGTTTTGGAGCTGCTAGGGAAAGCTCAGACTTGGAAGAAAGAGATGAGATTGCAGAAAAGGGAGATCCATTCTCATATTCTGGGAGCCCTGCCAGAGAATCCAGAGTCTTGTGGTTGTTCCAAAGCACAATATTGGCTGATTTGGAGAGTGTTGATCAAATCTGTCAGTAAACAAACACCATTTCTCATAGCACCGTTCCGCAACTCCAGCCTCAAATGTTAACTCCCTGGCTGCCTCCTTCTACTTGAGGCTCTCGCGTACCTTTTTTATTCATCATATAGTTCAACAGAAAGGCATTCTCAAAGAAGGACATAAGAAGTTTCTCCTGGATCTGACCAAAGTTGCCCAGCATCCTGTTTGTCACAATATCCAGACCAGCCAGATGTCTTTGAGACAGACATAACAACTTGAGACAACCAAGACGTAACTAAATTGTGGGATTCACTGCTATAAGATGTAGTTACAGTTGCCAAATTGGATGGTTGCATTCATGGAGGTTATGGCTTTCCATCGTCATTAATTGTGATATTCATTCATTCATTCATTTAAATATTAATATCTTGCCCTCTACATAGAGATCTAAGGGTGATGTGCAACAAAACCACCTTGGTTCCCACTTTGGGTGAAAGGCGGGATAATTAAATCCAATACATGCATGCATCCAATATAACAAATTTTAAACTGTGCAAATAATAAAGATAATTCTTTAAAAGACAAAAACATATTAAACAATTTAAGAGTTTTTTTAAAAAAATGATTAAAAGTGGCTAAAATGTTTTAAAATGTTTTAAAACCCTGTGTGTGGAAGGGTTTATGTAAATAATAATAATAGTAATAATTAATAATAATAATAATAATAATAATAATAATAATAATAATAATAATAATAATAAATTTTATTTATAACCCGCCCCTCTGCTCGGCAATCGGGGCGGCATAAAACAGATTAAAATACAACAAGTTAAAACACCACTAACCCACCCCCCCTTTAAAACAGAATTAAACTATCATGAAATTAAAATCAAATCAAATTCAATTTAAAACACCATGTAAAACCAATTAGGCCCCCCAAAGCTTTGGTAAACAATCATGTTTTCCTTTGGCACCAGAACAATGTCAAGGTTGGTGCCAATTGGGCCTTCAAGGGAAAGGTTTCCATAACTGGCTATGTATCTCCTCCAGTATCAAAGGCCTTTGTATATTGTGTATACACATGAGACGGAGGGCACAGATGCAGTCAGATCCTGCTGGAGTGCTTCTCATAGGCCATTGTGTGAACAGAATGCTGAACTAGGTAGACCTTTGCTCCGATCCAGTGTGGTTCTCTTTCCATTATGTTAATAGATGTGCTTTTTTGTGTCCCCAGCATCTGATATTCAGAGAGATACTGCTGCCAAATATAGAAGTTCCATTTAGGTACCATGCTTAGCAGTTATTATTTTGTCTCTAATTCCATTTTAAAGACATCTGAGATAGTGGCCATCACCATGGCTCCTTTGTTGTTGTTGTGTGCCTTCAAGTCCTTTCCGACAGATGGCAATCCTAAAGTTACCCTATCTGAGTGTGTTTTACTCTCCCAAGGTCTGCACAATGCTCAAACCACTGCACCATCCTGGCTCCCAGATCTCCTTTCTGAAGATATTTAGACAGAGAGTTGCATGGCCAGCTGTCAAAGGTGTTGTAGTTGTATTCTGAATTGCAAATCATGCATTGAGCAGTGTGTTGGATTAGCTGACCTTCCGATTGATGGTGACCCTAAGATGAGCCTATCTTGGGGTTTTCTTGACAAGATTTGTTCAGAGGACATTTGTCGTGGCCTTCTCCTGAGAGCATGTGATTTGCCCTAGGTCACCCAGTAGGTTTCATGGCTGTGCTAGGAGTTGACCCTGGTCTCCAGAGCCATAGTCCAACACTCAAACCACTATACCACACTGGCTCCACTTCAGTTTAAGTATTCCCCAGCTAAACAGTTTTGGACCCTGGATGAACAAGTCAGTGGTCTAGGGCACTATTCCAAGAACGCTTTAAAATCTGGAATCAACCCTGTGTATTAACTTTCCTGGGGGGCTCACAGCTGGCCAGCTTTATCAACCACTAAATACTCTGAAATGGAGAAACCCCACCTGACAACAGCGATGGGGAAGAAGAAGGCGTAAAAGAACTGGAATTGTCTGTCACGGCGCAATATATCTCTCATGTCCTTAAGGCAAGGCTGGGGAAATGTGCAGGTTTAGCATCCAGGCCTCAGGACTGTGTTGGCTTTCTTGCTACGAGTTCAGGTTGCTTGGAATTGCCACCCACTCACTTCTTTTTGCCTGCAAGTGTGTGTGTGTGTGTGTGTGACATATCACGCAACTACATGAAGAAGGAATTGCCTGATAGGGAGCATAAATCATGGGCTGTTCTCAGCTTTTGAGCGAGAAGAAAAAGGAAAGTTTGTATGCATATAATTACAGACTCTGCTGCAAATAAAACAAGATATGACAGCTTTAGAAGGGAGCCATTACTAAGCAGAAGCTATAAAACTTTGGTAAGTGACTAGCATTTGGCAGGAAGTTCAAAGACACTCCACACTGCAGAGACTGATACTGGGTCCAAAATAGCTCTTTCCAGGGCTCTTTCTCTCGGCTGAACTTTTCACGCTCTCCATGCACAGCAAACAGGCTGGGTTGCTCTTCAACCCCACCAGGTTTCTCCGTCATGGCTAATTTCAAAGCCTCAAAAGCATTTTTGAGGAAAGAATATGAAAAAAAAAGAGAATAACTGGCCCAGAAAAGTTTGCAGGGTCTCTCTCTCTCTCTCTCTCTTTCTCTCTGGAAAAATTTAAAGAGATGGGTGCCTTGCCAAATCTTTTTTTGCAAACTTTTCAAGCTTGATGGGCTGCTTTTTTAAAAGCTTGGCTATAATCAATGTTTCGGATTGCAAGCAGGACTAAAGGGAAAAACTATAAAATATGGCCACCTTCTGCATTGAAATACCTGAGTGACCCAACCAATAAGATTGTTCTTTTGACTCTGTCCCTCATGCCATCTCCATGCATTCATTAATCTATACTTCTATACAGTCTTTGGTCTATATCTGGAAACTGAAATATCTCTTTTGCATTGCCTCCATCAGTATTCCCTCCAACAGTCCTGGTTTGACAGGGACAGTTCCAATCAATCCTCTGTCATCCCAGTTTTCCAGATGCTTTTAAAAGTCCCAATTTATCTCTCCTTCTCCTGCATTCCCCCTGGCATGAGGAAAGAATGCAGATGTTCAGCCAGATAGTAGCACCATTCCATGCACCTTACCGCAAAACGTCATAGTGCTTCTGTTCTCTTCCCACAAGAGATGGTTGTAAAAGCAAGACTTTTGTTGTGCTGGAAAAATCAGATCATCAAAAGATTTGCTTTTACAACCATCTCCCCCAAGAAGAGAACTAAAGCATTACCAACGTCCTGCAGTAAGACAAGTTGAAAAGCACTACTATTTGGCTGAACTTCCACTAAGGACCTTAGGAGATTATTGCACATACTTACCTCTTCTGAATTGGAGCCCAATTCGGGCTGAAGCTGGTTCTTATCACATGGCTTTTTCAGTTTAATTCACCTTGTGAGTACATCCCCACTCCAATGCGGATCCAAAAACGCGCTCCAGTGGCCATTTTTTAAAGTCGGAAGTTTAAATGACTTGAAGGCACACAACAACAACAAGCCCTTTGTGCATTAGGTCAAGGCACATCATTACTCCACTGAATAACAAATGCCCATACGTTATAATGCCACAGCAGCCCCTGGGTGACTATAAATGCTGTGAAACTACACAATTCATTCCTCAAATTCCTGTTGACATAATAGCAAAAGCAAAGCAAAGCAGCTTCATTTATATACCGCTTCATACCACGCTATGGGATGTCTAAGCGGTTTACAACTGTGAGCTGATTGCCCCCCAACAGTTGGGTACTCATTTTAGCGACCTCGGAAGGATGCAGGCCTGAGTCAAGCCCCAGCCCTGGCTGGTATTGAACTCGCAACCTTGTGGTCTATGAGTGAGTGGCTGCAGTACAGGCATTTAACCACTGCACCACCAGGGTTTTGTCTGCCAATGGAAGGACAACAAGGAAGGGAAGATCTCAACTTCCTTAGGAAGGGATCCTACACTCATACACATTATTTGAAGCACTCTTTAAATTAGGTGATGGCTCTGTTGGTTTTTTTAACAAAAAAACAGAGGTAGTAATATCTGCTACTGGCTTCTTTCTTGTTATGAATATTGCACATATGCAAACACATAATTTTTTTTGAAATGCAGGGACTCATCATGATCACCCTGTAGCCATGCCCCTAAGGAGAGTCAAATAATTCAGGTAGCTACTTTGAGTCCTATCCACAAACCGGATCTCACATTTTTCATTTCCACAAGGAGCAGGTCTTTTGGAAAGCCAATGAGTCATCAGTGTCTATTCAAGACCAAGTCACCCCAAAATGTTTTGCATCTCAACAGAGATACCTCTCAATGGCATATTGCTACTAGGAATATCTAGTCCTTTCCTCCAGCTACTTGCAAGGATTCCAGCTAAAATCAGAGGAAAAAGGAAAGTGGAATTGGGTGGGAGATGATATATCTGCCCACCAGAAAGCCCTTCAAGCTCTGCTTCCATGACACTACACTTTATATTTGCTCTCTAAAGAGATTTTTGAAACCATCAGGAAAAGTAAATGTAGAGGCAGAAGCAAACATTTTTTCCCCTTCTGTGAAGGATTTGTCCTCTCTACCTCAAAATGCCCAGCCATGCAATTACAATGTTTTAGGCAAAAGTAAATCACAACGGAGAGGCTTATAATAAGCATGCTGTAATCAT